CAACGGTTATAAAGAGGTCTAGACTTGTGTATTGGCATAGGATTGGCAAAAATGCAAAGAAAGGAAAATAAGCGATAAAATGTATGCTTATGAAATAATTATGGTATTGCATCATTTTATTGATGCATTGTAAATTATTCTCTAGGTGTGCCTAGGGATTGAGAAGGATCGGAAATCTCTTGAAGCGATAAAAGTAACTTGTTCCACAAGTAAGCGTATTGGTAAAGCTTCAAGAGGTAAGCTCTATGTTTAAGGAGTCTTTTCCTGCTTGAGTGCTCCACCATGGTTAGTGAACTATGGTTGGACTGTATGACTGTGATTTAGATGCTTTGTATAGATGCATTCATATAGAGTTATTTGATAACATGATATGTTTTGCTCTGATATGACTTCTGTAATATGATTTCTGTAACAATCTCTGGCCATTGATTGTATAGTACCCGGATGTCCGCTTTGGGGTCCTCCCTCGGGACTGATGGTGTACGCCTCTGATATGTCTGGTTCCGCTTTGGGGTCCTCCCTCGGGAACACGTGCGTTGATTTCCGCTTGGGGTCCTCCCTTGGGAATGACGGCGCACATCTCTGATATGATATGGATATATGCTCTGTTCTGTTATGATATCTGTTATATGTTGTATTTGTATACTCTGTATCTGACTTTCATGCAGGAGTGAGCCAGGGGTATGGAGAATTCTCTATAAACCTGGAGCTTATTGAGATTTGTAATCTCACCCTTCTTTGGGGACATATTTTCAGGTGCCCAGATTCCCAGTGAGTCCTCACTAGGCAGGGACACGACACGTGGCTGAGTCAGTTGACAGATTGGATTTTGAGTGGCTGTAGGCTACTACCTTTTTGGAGTGTTTGATGTATTTTAGTATTTTCGCATTTGATGGATCATGATATTGATCCTTTATTGTGTATATGGCCTGTATATGTTTTGTACATGTCTGTCGCTTTGATGCATGTATATTTGGGTATTCAGGCACGTTATATGATGAGGTAGTATTCAGATATGTTTACGTGTTGGATTGCATGCTGTTAGATATAGTGGCACTGAGCCAAGTTATGCATGCGCCCATGGATGGGAATTTGATTATATTTGTATAAACTGTTTATCAGGAAATGCTTCTGTGAGGGATTGGAAAATCCCCAGTTGTCCGATTTATAGAGGAAACTCTGCCCGATTTTCGTTTACGACGAATGAGAATTTAAAAAGAAAAAGAAAAAGTTAGCTCGTATTTTCAGAAGTTAAGTCTTCTGCTGTTTTCTGTTTTATCATATGTATGTTAATTGAACCGGCTCGAGACGGGGATGTTACACTAGGGGTGCAGGAATTGGAACACCAGAGGCAATAAAACTTGTATGGTCTTGCCACAGAGAAATTATCTATGATGTTGGGCCTGTGCCAAAGCATTGGGAAATTCCTCCATCAACTTAAAAAGTCTAGTCAACGACAATGAGTTTAGAGATGTAGATGGTGAGACAGTATGTATTACTGAGGCAGTAAAAGAGGTCATGTCACAACACCTCCCAAGACATGTTTTTAGATTTTAGAATAAATTCAGGGAAATTATGAATATTGATTAGCTTTTTTTTTACTAAAATATATGGTGCAGTCAATTTAAAAAAAATAAAAAATAAAAAAAAATGTAAAGAACCTTGGGATACACCACCCCAAAAGCTAGCTCAAAGGGTGGGAGTGCCCAAGACCTTATAAACTCCACATTAGTTGCACATACAACCAATGTGGGACTATAAATCTCAACACGCCCCCTCACACGAGAGCCCATTGGGCTTGAAGAGTGGACAATGCAACAGGCCCAGCCTACCTGTGCTAAGAAACGCTACAAGAGAAAGTGAAGGGCGGCGAGGCTCTGATACCATGTAAAGAACCTTGGGATACACCACCCCAAAAGCTAGCTCAAAGGGTGGGAGTGCCTAAGACCTTATAAACTCCACATTAGTTGCACATACAACCAATGTGGGACTATAAATCTCAACATATTTACTAAACAATTGAAAGCACAACTGTTTGACCCAAGCGCAGCAGAAAGCAGGTAAAGAGACGTTGGAGATTTAATACAAAATTGTTCATGTATCTTCACACAACAGCTTAAGCTTTTGAGATATTTCATTCATTACATGGCATCATAGCCCTACAATAAAAAGTTAAATTTAAGCATAAGGTAGGGGGACATGTCCATTGTCCCTACTATAGCACAAAAGTCTCTTGTGTGAGGGTACCTATAGAAATATAACACAAAACCATTTTTTTGTCCTCACCTATCCAAACAACTTAAGCTTTGGAGAGGGATAATTCCTGACAAAAAGCATACAGCTTTAGATCATAAGTAGATGAACTACAGTATCAAAATTATCATGAAATTTTCAACTGATTAATATTAAAGGATAAAACACAAACCAACCTCATAAAGTTCAATCACTTCATCCGGATAATAACCATCCATTACATTTAACCTCGTCACAATTTCTGATGGCTTACCAGTACTCTTCACAAAAAGCCTTCCAACATAACTGCAATCATAGGGAAATACATAAATGTCAAACTAGGTCCACCTTTTACACCAACATATGTTAAAATACAGAAATTACTCAATACCGTAGCTCCTCTTTTTCAGGATCCTATAACTTAAAGAATAATAATATATCAACCTTTTTCTTGTCAGGTGGTGCAATTGGTCATAAATCCTAAATAATAAAGTAGTTTGTTAACATTACTGTGTTTAGGTATCAATTATCATGCTATCAAAGTAGTATACAACTTCCACAATACAAATGTTACCAGCCCAAGCTCCACTTCCAAAAACAATTTTAATTCTGCATTTTGAACCTTGTTTGATAACTCTCTCAATTGTCCAACCTGCAATGTAAAAATAGAGCATCTGTTGAGCAATCATCACCAGCTTCAAAAATCAAAAACATAAGACCACAAAGATTCGTATTATATATTTTGTTTCCTTCCAACTAAAGCATCAGAAGTTTTATATTTTGGTACTGTTCTAAAAAGTAATTGTTTTATCAAAGGATGCAACTAAAATAATGGTTTGAACTTTAGGAGTTCACAAACTAAACTTTCTCTAGTTCAATGACTCTTATCATATCTGCCAATAAAATTTGAGAAGATAGTAAGAAAAATTAATGCATTTCTCCAAAAAGTAAGAAGACTAGCAACAAAAGCACTGGCCACAACAGTCAGTCATCCAAAATTTGAAGTTGTAATGATGGTTATCAAATATTCCCTCTTTCCAAATCCATATTGGATGACATTCCATCCTTTATCATCCCTTGCAAAGGTGATATGTTATGGGCCACTGAATCAAGAGAAAATACAAAATTTTAGAGTATGTTCACCCACTTTGAAAAAATTAAACTGAAACAGTATCGATGGCATGAAACTGCCTGAGTTAATCCTATTTTGAAATTAATTCCACACAGCAACATCGAATAATATAGTTCTGTTGATACGGACAATTTTACATTATCTCCCTCTTAACTATGTCATAAATGAATGGTTCAAGACACTTTATGTCAGTATATTAATTTCTCATATTTACCAATTTTTCAATGAAAAACCAACATTTTAAAAGGAAATATTTACGATTGAGATCAGAGCAAATAAGAAAAGAAACAATAATATTAGTCATATCATGCCAGGTCAAAGAACTTCTACCAGGAGGGCTACTGGTGTGATTAGTGATTATACCTTGAAAAGGTTAAAAGACCTATGTTTTAGGACACGGAAACTCCTCACTTTGTCATGGTCTACGAGATCCAAATATATATCCTTTCCAATTTGCACAGCAAGCTCTTCATCTCGTGCCACCTTAGAAGTATCATATGTTATCAGTAAAATATAAATCCAATTTGATTAAGCAACTCACAGGGACAAATGAAACAGTACCATTGTGATGAAATTTACCTAAAGTGGAGCCTGTTGTACACATATTCCTGAAAATCAGACAAATGAGAAAATAATTAGTACCGAATACTAAATTATTAGCAGGATAACCTCAGACAAAAAAAAAATTGCAATAATTCAGATGCAGGATACAAAAAAAAAAAAAAATTGAAGCCAAAGTTCCCAACGACATATCCAGAAGGAATAACAAAAGGCAGAAAAATCTTGTGCTTCTCAGAAACTATTTAACCAAACAAATCAAACAAAACCATTTTGATTTTGATACAAATCAAATTCCTCTTTAACAGTGTTTATTCTTTCAGAGATATGTTCAGCTTTTATCAATGCAATCTAGTTGCAAGGGTAGCTAGAATATTGCCGCCAGTAACATATATAATCACTCACCAGGTATATGTGATGTTAAGCATCCATTGCTCCTATAAATGTACCATGTTATCTGTATCGTATTGCAAAATGATTGAATGTAGAAACTTGAACTAAAAATATACACACCCAGTTGAGGTGTGATATGATTGCATCACGATGTCGAAGGACACGATCTAATAGATCGTTGTATCGAGTAGTTGGATCATAGTCTCTTACCGTAAAAATGGCTGCATGCGCAGCAGCACCAACTATAAGAATTCCACCAATCCACATGTGATGTGTGAACAATGACAGTTGGGTACCGTAGTCAGTCGCTAGTTGTCTCCCGTCATAATATACTTGTACGTTGTTCGAATAAAGCTTCAAGTAGCTATTAATAACATTAAATTTATCTTCATGGGCATCCTTTCACCCATAGATATGAAGAACAAACAATACAAAGTTTAACAGAAATTCCTAAACACTACTCAGAGTTCTTTGTCAATATCTTTTTTGGATCAATAACCTTCTCTACAAAAGAAGGCAGACAGAATGCAGCAGGATGGATCTGTAGTAACAAAAAAGAAAAAGCAAGAGAGGAACAGGCAATTAAGTTAGGTTAAAAGAGAACAAAGAAAAACAAATAAGTAGTTTAATCCTTGAATTAGAATCGTTTCAATAGATTACCTTTGCTACTGACTTTGCTACTGACTCCATGAAGCAGTTATCTGCAAGCACTTCTGCAATAGGTCCTGCATGACATAGAACTTCTTTTATTTCTTTTAAGGCTTTTAAAAATGAGAATTTTCTTCTCTCACTATAGCTGCAATTTTAAGTTGACAGGAAGAAAAGATAGTTTTACCCATTGGGTTGAAAGCATCCAAATATAATAGCATCATAAGTGCCCTCAGGAGCAGAATTGATGAACGCAATTCCTGAATACATTTGTCAGATATTTAATATATAGAGAAATATTTGCTTTGTAAGTTAGAAAACAAATGGCTTAACCTTTTACCATCAGTGATATGAACATGCACTCGAGGATCCTGGTAACCAACTGCTATATCCGGGAAAAAGTTCTTATAAACCTGTATCCTCAAAAGCATTAAGAAATTAGTATGGTTCTTTCCTAGAATATATTCTTCAAAGCAATGCATATACAAGCAGAAAATTTTAATAAGGGTTCTTTTTATTTGTAATACATTTCTGTCAAAGTTCATAAAAGGTGGAACTTAGGAATGTTAACATAAAGACTCACATCAATCACCATTTTGTCTATTTCACATATATCAATATGTTCAACAGAAGAATGGCGAGATATCTCTCTAAGAATTCCACCATCTCCTCCTCCAACTAGCAGCACCTGTAATGTATGTTCATAAACACCTTGTTAAACAAATTTTCTCTCTTGGTTCTTTCAGAAATGTTTCTTTTTTCCCATTAGCTAGGCTCTTAGTTCACTTGGGAGGAATAGAGAATGAAGAACAGAAAAAACCTTGTTTGGATTTGGAATGGAACAGAGTGCAAGGTGAGTGAGCATCTCTTGGTAAGCAAATTCATCATTCTCTGTCAGCTGGATATACCCATCCAGAATTGCAACCTTGCCATGTCTTGATGACTGCACAAATAGTCTTCTCAGAAACTATTTAACCAAACAAATCAAACAAAAATTGCAATAATTCAGTTTGTTTTTTTCTTTCCTTTTACTTTCAGCAACCCAGTTGCAGAAATTCCAAACCACAAAGATTTCACTAACCAAACCAAAAAGAATTCAAGAAAAGAAAACCAACAGAGAACAGAGCATATATTGATACATCATCTAATCTACCTCACAGATTCCATTAACAAGATATCCAAAGAACAATCCAGATGAGCAATTGAGGAATTGTTGATATCCAGCGTGAAGCAACAATTTGATATCTCTCTCATTTTGTGGCAAGTGAAACCCAAAAACCATTTTTCTCTTATTTTCAACTCCAACAGATATTTTCAATATATATATATATATTAGAGGCAACACATTACTAAATGTATTTGAAATTTACCCCCCGTCATTTTTTGTTTGCTAATTGTAGTGAAATACGGGACATAACTCATTTTTTCAATGAATATTAAATAGTATTGAATATAAATGTATATCTCCCTGAGAGACTTATATTATAATTTTAATTTTTCGAGAATAATAAAGTTAATATATATTTGAAAAGCTAATTTATTTATTTAACTCAAAATAATAAGTAATCTCGAGTTTATATATAAATAAAACATTATCTCAAACATCCTCAAAAGCAAAAACATAAAAAAAGAAATATAAAAAATTCAAAAATCTCCAACTGTATAAGCTGGCTCCTCGCTTCGTTTCCCGCTCACTCCACTCCAACGGTATAATTTTCCGGCAACAAAAGCAAACACACAAAAACAACATTGCAAATCACAGAAGCAAAACACACAAACAACCTTTGATCTCTCCAATCCCTAATTTTCCCGAGAAACTTTTCAGCTCTCCTTCACGCTCAACACTGCAATTCTTGTTTTTCTATTCTGCAATCCTTGTTTTTCTTCCCTTTTTTTTTTTCCGGCAACAAAAGCAAACACAAAAACACACATTGCAAATCACAAAAGCAAACACACAAACAACCTTTGATCTCTCCAATTTTCCCGAGAAACTTTTCAGCTCTCCTTCGTGCTCAGCATTAAAATTTTTTTTTTTTTTTTTTTTGTTTTTTTGTTTTTCTATTCTGCAATTCTTGTTTTCTTGTTTTTCTTCCCATTTTTTTCTTGCCGTAAATGATGGCGTTGAGGGTTTTGGTGGATGCGAGTGATCCCATGATGAGATCAAACCACCGTCTTCACAATTCCACGTCCCCTTCCACTTTCTTGAAGTGTGGAACCCAGAAGCGCGGGAGAATGACGAATGCTGACGATATTGTTTATGCTCAGAAGAGACCCAAAGCTGTGCAAATGAAGAAGAAATTAGATGTAAGTTTTTTTCATTATTATGTTTAATATTTTTGTGTGTGATTTTTATGTGTTTTATTTTTTCTTTTAAAGCATATTATTATTATTGTGATAATGATTTAAATTTTTATAATTTAATTCAGTCTCCTCTCGAGTTTATCATGGATGTTAACAAACCTCAAAGCCCCGTGGAGTCTCTGCATATGAAAAAGGGATGCATGCCTATGAGAAAAACTTTATTTGTCAAAAAAATTGATACCAAAAAGTCTTCAAGGGCTTCAGTTAGCGAGGTTCACAAGAAGATAAGGTTGGAAACTCTGCAAGAGGAAAAGGGAAGTATTGAAAAATCATTCTTGAAAACTAGTCATGAACTAGCTCCTCCTATTGCTGTTGATAATAATAATAAGAAGACTTTGTTAAATTGGAGACAAATAAAAGAGGAAAGACAAGAGAGAGACAAGCAAGAGGACAAGGGAAGTGTTGAAAAATCATTCTTGAAAACTAGTCATGAACTAGTTGTTCCTATTGATGTTGATAATAATAAGAAGACCTTGTTAAATTGGAGACAAATAAAAGAGGAAAGACGAGGGAAAGACAAGCAAGAGGACAGGAAAAGTGTTGAAAAATCATTCTTGAAAACTAGTCATGAACTAGCTGCTCCTATTGCTGTTGATAATAATGAGAAGACTTTGTTAAATTGGAGACAAATAAAAGAGGAAAGACGAAGGAGAGACATTGCTTATGCTCGACTCCAAGCACGACTCCAACTTGATGAGATGAAGGACACAGCTGGTTTAGAGCACAACAGGGAGGCTCAAAGAGATTTTGAGAAGTTCATTGGGATTCATTTGTAAAAGAAAAATTAATGATGAATTGTGGAAGAAAAATTGTTTGCATTATGATACTCTTCTACTGTAAAGTTTTTTTCAAATGTGACGATGTATTACTTTCTTGTTCCCTGTAAATAATAAAAGTTTAGTTCATTTTTTTTTGATGTTATGCTTTCTTGATTGAGAACTTATTTACTGGATTGAGTTTAGCTTCGCTGTAAAGTCTCTTAATTGTTTAAGTTTGGTGTAAATTTGACTTTATTACTCCTTATTTCATACGTTGTTGCTTATGAATTGCATTGTCTCGTTGTCACATAAAATTCCTTTTCACCGCTTTTAAATATGATAGCATTTAGTTCATGGAGTTATCGAAGAAGGAGATTCACAATGATTTCATGGAGATGTTGGGGCTTCTTTAGTAAGGTTCTGGCAATGGCTATTCTCTGCTTTTGTCCTCCTGAAAGCTGGCAGCCTTTCTCTCCAACAACAGTGTTATATCCATTTGGAAGGTTACTTACAAATTCATGTATGTTTGCTTCTCTGATTATTGCCATAGCAAATGTTGTCTCTAATTGAGCAATTAAATAGCAGTGGCTCTTGTTGTACCAGCCCTATTTGTGCCCTAAACCATCTTAGATTATATTTCCGTATGTCTTTCCCATCAATTAACACCTTTCCTATTTGTACCACCACTTGGTCCTACAAAAGCCACCTTCAATCCAGCTTCAATTTGTAAACTGAAATTGTCAAGAACAGTGACCTCCGGTCTTGAAGGGTAGTTGAATTTTACATTTTGAAATTCAATATTTCCTTGGATCCTCTCAGGTTGGGAATCATCCGGTGTATAAGGGTTTTGAATGCTGGGGTTAGTATATTGATAGCTGAGATGACAGTTGGGATCAGTGTGTATAATTCAGTGAAAATTTGGTATGATCTGATTCCATTTTCAAAGTTGGCTTGACGTCTTTTAACTAGAATTGTTGTGTAGCACAAAGCAATAGCATGTGCAATGTTCCACAAGCAAAGGGAGAAGCCTTGAATGATTCCATATTTTATACTTTCTTTTGATGGATTTTCAAAGCGTTGAAAATCACTAAAGTCCAATTTCAAAGCTTGCATCTGCAGTCACTAGCCACTAGGACCAGGAGCCAACTCAACACTCAACAGCAGCATCAGTTACATATATACTTTACAAAACTATAGTACACAATACATGACATGTTTTCCCAAATGGTAAAGGCAGAGGCAATGTCGTTTAGTTAGTCACATTTGTGAACCAAGTACACCTTAATTTCAATCCAACAACTACCTATTTAAACTGGGGTCCATCCCTTATATCCAAATTCCAAATTTAGTTTCAATGTGTAGTACTGTGGTAGAACAGAACAGAATACTCTTAAAGAAATATTCTTATTTATTGTTGTTATTTTGAATGGTTATCGTTTTTACCAAGCAGTTAAATTTCACAGCATCCATTCTCTTGAAGAAATATCCCGCATATGTTATGTTAGTTTTTCGTGCTAACTGCATATCTGCGAGCTGTTTCATCAACAGTTTAACAAGGTGCCCAAGTGTACTTCCAAAGTCCAATTCGACAAATACCAAAACAGCAAAGTCACAATAAATCTTGGGTTCGTTTGCAGATGAAGCCTAAATCACTGACCGACCATGAAAAAGGATTGAGTTAAAGATTAGAAGATTGATAGCCAGACAATTCAATATATAATGTAATTAAAATGGGCTTGTTGTTGGAGTGATAGGTCAATTTTATGAGACACAAAAGTGGGAACCATAAAGATGTTGACGCTAGCTTATAATGATGTTATTTTGCAGAGCATCATTACTGGCTAGTTGATCCCATTGCATATTTTCAACCATAGTGAACCTTAGTCCCCTTTGTTCATTATGATTTCCACTTTTGAGCTTTACATCAAAATTTCATTTTATTACAAATTTAATAGTATTGGTTCACCGGACATCAACTCTCTACAGCATTTAGCTCCGTCAAATTAAAAAGGAAATATTTTTATGTTAATTATTAGCCCATGATCTTCAGAAAGAATCAAGAAAGAAAGGGAAAGGGGCTTAATTAGGATATATGTTTTTTATCCAGCCAAGAGGAGGAGTACTCCATTGAATCAACACTTCAGACTTGCCTGCCTTCACAATGCCAGCATTCATATACATCATATTTGCTTCCATAAAATTGGAGAAGTAAATATAGATTCTCCTAGCCACAGTCTCCTCATTGGAGCATTGGTTCTCAAAAACTAGCAAGTTTCTTTCCTTCCATAAGTACCAACAAATAATACCAAATAAAAGACAGCCCCTCCCCCCCACTTAAGCTGCTCTTTTTTGGACACAAATTAAATTGTAACCACTCTGCAAATGGTAAATTCAGGAACTCCATCCAATTATCTGGACTGATGAATCTCCTCCATATGGCTTGAGCCCATCTGCATTCTCTCAGTACATGGACACAACTTTCAGGTTGTGACCAGCATCTGGGGCAAAGATCAGATGTTGCCATATGCCTTTGAACTCTTTTTTGGTTGGTTAGAAAATTCTCCACAAGGGCAAGCCAGAGAAAAGTTTTAATCCTGGGAGGACCTCCCCACTCCCAGATTTTACAACAATGAACCTGAAGAGGGACAGAATTCTCCATATTCAAACTGCAATAAGCTGATTTAATAGAAAACTTACCATCATAGGACAAATCCCAAATGACCATATCATCCCCATACAAGGGATGTGGAGGACAGGTCCTTGCTACCAAGCTCAAGGCCTCCTCTGAGATGAGACCTTCAAATAACTGCCAATTCCACTCTCCATTAGGCCTCACCATGTGAGCAATTTCAACATTTCAGATTTCTTCTGGAATATCCTGAGTAGCCTGATTTTTCAAGGGGCCAACAGAAGTCCACTTATGAGCAATACGCTGAACCAAGAG